TTCAATAAAACGGCAGAAGAACAGGGGAAAAATTCAAATCTTTTAGGGTAAAATTCTTTAATTCTGCCAATGCTGTGTCTTCAAACTCCCAAATTTTCAATAATGGGCAGAAGAACCGTGGTAGCTTAGGGGATAGAGCGCTCGCCTCCTAATGAGGTTAACCGGGTTCGAATATCAGCGACAATACAACGGCTCACACCGACAACAGCACTGACGTAAAATATCCTCTGTGGTAGACGGATCATGGGCTAGAGTTTCCTTGCCGTTAGGTTAAATGGGAGGTTTTCGTGATTTTCCTCTCCATCTAACGCAAATGCGGGTTAGTTCAATCAAAAAGTACTCCACGAAGGAAAATTTCTCCCAATCCAGGAGTCCCGTTGTCTTTTGGATTGGGTACTGAGTTGAACATTGGTATTCGTAAACGCAAAATTGTGTCGGCTGTTCAACCTCGGTTATACAATAAAATAGTGTAGAGAAATTTTTATAAACTTTCAGTGTAGCCCAATTTTCTTCTGTTTATGTTGAAACAAGATACTCTTGAAATTTAATTTGTGTTTTAATCCTGAACTACTTACTACCCATCAGCATTTTGACCTACATTTACTGCCTGCATTTTTACCAACTTTGTAACTGGGTTTTTTTTTCCTCTTTGCCTTTTTTGTTGCTTTTTATATTTTTTAAGAATTCATGTAATTAAAAGCAAGACTTATACCTTATGTGCTTCTTAACATAAAAATTTAGAATGGTGAATTAAATGTTATTTTTTTTAAACTCTTCTTTAGTTAGAAAGAAAAACTGCGTTCAAACTTAAAAAAAAGTGTAATCCTTCATTAAAGAACTAAGAAATAGTACCATAATTCATGCAAAGCTAGACTAAAATTAGTATCCAATGATCGAGCGAAGAATAACGGTGAAAGCAGTTCCGCTAAGGCCCCTAGAACAGTTTATTTAGTATTAATTCATGAACATATGCGATAACAACCATAAAAAAGATGATATGAATGAATGCACACTATCAATTTTTGACTACTAATTCGGTCGTGGACTTTATTATATCTTCCTATGCTGTTTGATAATAATAAGACAATGTTAGATAATAATCTAAACAAGTAATTTAGTAAAATGTTAGTTTATAAACGTTATCTTATTAGATTAACTTTTCATGAATGGTACAATTTTACGCGATTTTAATATTTCGCCACTTATTCCTTGAACTGTTTTCATTCAAATCGACTAAAATTATGAATACTTTATTTATTTGAAGACGATTGTATTTAGAAAAAATTTTAGCTTTCTAAGGTTTTTTTTATTTAGGTTTTGTATCTTTAAACACAATACTAGAGTTAATTTTAAAAAATATTTATATATTTTTGATTATCTTCAGAACTACATCACAGATTTCAGGAAAATTTGGTTTGAACATATGATGGGCAAATAATAACCATTCAACAGTTTTAACACACATTCGTGATCGTGCGTAACACACATCAGAGTCGGATGGTATCAAAGAGTGGTTACAAAACTAAATAATAAAAAGGATTTAATAAGTGTTATGGCTCCCTCGTACAGATATACAGGCTTCACACCATGATTTCTTACGGAAATTAAACAGTTTATGAGCTCTCGTGACTGTTTAACCCACTTGTTCCCTAATGCAGTTTTCAGACATTGGATAGTTCTCGGTGGTGGTGGGTTGTCATTGCCCTCCCCAAAGCCTCCCAGACACATTTTATTCGGTTAAGGTTTGGAGATCTGGGTGGCAAATCCCTCCAGCGAATATCTTCATTTTACACAAAACGGTAGACCAGAAGTGCTCTGTGTGGTACCGCATTGTCATCCATTACAATGAAATAAGAACCCATTGAATCTACGAAAAAGAGCACATAGGGCTCCAAAACCTCATCTCATCCCTATACCTCACACTAGTCTTAGTAGAGCTTTCAAAGACATGGAGAGGTGTGCGAGATTCCTACATTATGCTTGCCCAGATCAGCACACTGGCCGATTTTTTCGATTTCTGTAGCATTAGAAACAACAACAACAATGTTAGTCTATGAAGAAAAAAGTATAGTTAGTTAAAAGTATCGTAATATATTTATGCAAAATATTGCTTACTGTTACATATTTAATATTGAATATAATTTAGTGTTTTTTCCTTTTTTATTAAAAATCGATTACTATTTATTAAATATAGTTTACGTTGTATTATAACATATTTGATTTCTCAGCGAGTTTCAGAAATTTAGACTAAACATTTTAAAATTAAAAATGTATTAATTTATTGCTTAATTTTGAAAATTAATTACAAGAACATATCAATTTCTCAAAAACAAAATGTACTTTTTATTTTTTGGAAGGAAAAAAAAATAGCGATGAGTGTATATTGCAACTAAGTCCTTTTATGATGTTCATGCTGGATAATTTTTGGTCTACATTCGAGGGACTAAACTTTCTGAGAATTTGAAATTAGTCTTTTCAAGAACTGGACCTATGATTAGAACCATATTAGATTGGCCTTTCTCCATTTATTTTACTTTCCTAACTTAAATACAGCATTATGAAGTAAAGAGACAGAGGAAAATATTATTTTGGTATTTTTTTTAGTTGCAAAAAAGAAAATGAATAAATAAAAAAATAATAATAATAAGAGCAGAAAAAAGAAGAATGGGGAGGAAAGATATTTTGAAAAAATCATGACGTCATACATCGAATTCATATTTTGAGCTGTCATTAAAAGAAAGGAAGAAAATTGAAGGACAATTTAGATCAAGGTTTGCAGATCTACAACTGAGATAAAAGACATGTTTTAAAAAATCGAAACAGAAGGCTATTTAGATTAAAAAAGAAAATGTTTTTTTATTTTTTATTTTTTTTATTTTTTATTATTATTTTTACTAGTACAATTAAGCACAACTTCGATTAAATAAAAAAGATTTATAGCAATATTTCTTGCTCTCTCTGAAAAAATACATTACCAGCAGGTAAATGTAATTTTTTTCTGATTTAACAAACAAAGGATAAACAATATACAATTAATTTAATAATACTATTTTTATAACACTAACTTTAATTTTTACTTATCTTGTGTAGGGCAAGCAAGGCAACCACCTGTATCCCCCTACATATTAGTGACACTTTGGAAAGCCTACACTAGTAGTAGAATTAAAAAATTATAAAAATTAGTGTGAAAAATTGAGATTATTTAAAAAAATATCTTTATTTCTTAAAATTCTAAAATTTAGTTCTGTATTTTAACCATACATACAGATGCCAATCTACTCATGACTTCTTGAAATTAGTGGTTGGTACATTTCTTGGGGCAAAATAAAGTAAAACCACTTATAAAAATTAGCATAATATAAGGTGAAACATTTTCTTAAACGTAAAATTTTCCCTTGAAGAGGGAAGTTCAGCTCACAATGCATGCTTGAAGTAAAAAAAAATGATAATCTAAAAAATGGAAGTAAAATTAAAAGAAAAAAGAAATATTGTTTAGTTTCTTACATTATGGATGTGATATTCGACTTTTGGTCGAAAGCTGCACAAAGTATAATACGATTCTGCAGATTAATCAATTAAAAGTTTACAGAGTTAAATATCGTATATTATTAATTATACGATGTTTACAACATGGTCTTGTACTGTCTTTAACAATATATATATATATAGATGAAATCTTAAAAGCATATAGTTTATTGATAAGCCCCTTCAATTTTGTTTAAATCAAAAATTCATTCTTAATACTTTGATTAGCAGCCTGAAGAAAATAAATAATTTGAAAAAAAAATAACTAAATGGAAATAAATAAATTAATTAATTAAAAAATAAGACATGTCTTTTCTCGTCTGTTAGGCATAAGTAATTATTACACTCTGATGTAAATGAGACATTTTATAATCGTATAAATACATATTTTCAGAATCTTTATTAAGTATACACATTAGGAATCACAAATTAATATTTAAGGGAGTAAAAAATTAAAAACGTAATCTAAATCTGACAAATAATTTTTCTAATAATCTCCTCTCTGCTTTCTCAGGCAAACTAGTTATTATGGTGCATTAAAACCCGCTTTACTTGATAATAATACATCATATTTTGATATCGCTTTGTTTTGGACTTTTAAGATGCACACTGTTTTGATTTAATCTTTATCCGGACAATTTTTTTCATTTCATAGAAGAAAAACTAATGCTCACTGATTCACTGAAATGTTATGTTTTTATGTTTAGGTTATCAATTTTGAATATTTCGATTTCATCAAATGTTTCATGATTAGATGTGAATAAATCAACTTATACAGCGGAAAAATACAGGCAATCAAATTTTGAAATTGAAATGGAACTTTTAAAATTCTTTCTACGTTATTGTTGAGCAAAAGAGCCTAATATTATTTGTTCAGAAATTTTTGGAGCAGTTTGTGTTGCAGGAAAGCTTTGGTGTTGATGATGACGTCAGTTTTATAAATTTAATGCTTAAAACCTTAAACAGTAACACGATTTCTTTAGTTGTGCTTTAAACATATTTATTTATTTATCATAAAAAGTAATGTCGTTGTTCATTTAAGTTGTACTAGAGCTGAATAATGGGCTATTGGTGACGGTCTGGGAAACATCCCCGAGGATGATCCGAAGACATGCCATTACAATTTTGATCCTCTGCAGAGGGGATCGCACCCCCGCTTCCGTAGCCCAACGACCTGCATGCGAAGTCGAGCACTTCACGGTAGAACAGTTTAACGATGACCAATACCGCACACCCTCGGTCCCTACACAGACTGATGCACGTGGTCACTCACCCGCACACTGACCGTAGCCAGTGATGCTTGACCAAAGAATATAGAGGGGGCTTGACTTCCGTGATCTGTTGGGAACAGCGTCTTAACGATCAGTTCACTGCGGGACATCATGAAAAGTAAAGAAAACCGATAAGATCCAAATTTTGTAGCAGGTAGGTTTTGTAACTGTAACTGCGTCGATAGTAGATCAGACGAGGTAAGTCATGTGATGTAAGCATCCCAGCGAGATCCGATCCGCGATCCCCTTGAAAAAGATTTGTTTTGTCTCGAAAGGATTGTTTTGGAAAGTGTTATCTCACGTATAGGTGTTTATTATCTGAGATATATAAACTAAAGCACGCTAACATTTTCAAAATATCTATTAATTTGAACTGCGTTATTTTTCAGACAGAAAATTCAATGGTTCTTAGTTTACGATCATCATTTTTAGCGAACGTTGTTTTAGTTTCGCTACTTGTATTTATTTTTCCTTTATCTGCATTTCGATTGAATAAAAGGCAAGCGGTTAATCCAAGCCCGGTAATCTTAGGTATTATTAGTATTTTTTATTAATATTTCAAATAATGCATTAACAAACCTAACTGCATTATCTGTAAGTTATGCTTAAATGTTGGATCACTTTGTTTAGATCACTTCTATGTTCAGTCAGAAGAAGTGGTTTTGTAAAATTATCAAATTATAACTGTCAGACTTTTTTTCCAATTTTATAAAGAAATTTATTAGTAATATTCATTTCTCTTCTTGACTAAACCTATTTTAGCTTGCATTGTATATGGTATTCCGAGCTTGCTTTACAAATATGACCTTGCTATAATTGTTTAGTGTTATTTTATGTAAATGTTTCAGATTAATCTGGAGAGTGCTATGTTTTTATTTTCCGAATAATGAAATTTTTGGTAATATATTTGCTGTAATGTGTAGTAAGTAAGTAGTGAGATTCATTTGCTTATAAAAAGAATAATTGACTGTAATAAGTTTCGACTGCAGTAAATGGATTGAAAAAAATCTATTTACTAACACTTATCATTTATTGTTTACTTTTATTAACAGTATGGATTGTTTCTAAAGATGAAATAATAATTTTGCATTCAGATTTAACAAACTTAAATTTCAAATTATAAATATAAGTACTGAATTAGGCTTGTTTAAAGTTAAATATTTGTATCCACAGTTAAATGATGTATCTACATGTTTTATTGGTAAAACAATTCAACCGTCTAAGCATATACAGAAATTTCTCAGCTGCACTACTGGACTTTAGAATAACATTGCAAACAACTGTTTTTGACACAGAAAAGCTTGCAACTAAAAGTTCGGAAAAAGCTGGGACTAAAGCTCAGAGGGTTAAACAAAGCATAATCATCAGCTTTGCATTTTTGAACATGATTTACAAACATATGCAAGCAAAGTCTTGGACATTAAAAACACAGAGCTATAAGCATTAAGCAGAGAGCTCGCCGCACTTAACTATACTTAATACTCTTGGACATTAAATATATATGTGAATATTATGAATTAATATGAAATATTAATACCCAGTGGCAGAATCACGGTGACATTGTCGCAGAACGTTACAGAGTTGTTGCAGAAAGATTTTTCCTTTAGAAAGTAAAAAAAATTGGTTTTCTCTTCTGCAAAAATTTTCGAAATTCTTTTTTCTTTTAAATTATATTTAAAAGATGTCTTTTTCGTGCATTGGAGAGGAAAGAAATGTTCTAAATTTTTTTATTCTTATTTGAAAAGAATGAAAAATAAAGAATATTGAAGTAAAAAATTTCTTTTCTGCAGAAATATTAGAAAGATTTTTTTCCTCCATAATTATACTTAAGAGATACCTTTTTCACTCATCAGAGGGGAAGAAATGCTCGTGATTTTTTTTTAATTTCCTTTTGAAAAAAATAAAAAAAAATTTGGTTTTCTTTTTATTTACTAATTTTATGATTTTTAATTATTATTTTTCTATGAGATGATGATTTACGAAATGCGAAAAAAGAAATAATTAGTGTGTTTTCCTCTTACAAAACGTGAGAATATCGCCCATGATATTAGAATAAAGAAATATTACATATACATTATTTAAGAAAAATACGTAAAATTTTATTATATCCAAATAGGCTTTTCTTTGTAAATACAACGTTTCTGATCTTCAACGAACGTTGTAAATACAATGTAAATATTAGTGCTAGAGAAGATTGTCGCAGAAAGCCCCAAAAAATTCTGCCACAGGGTATTAATAATTAAAAAATTAAATATATCGATTTGTTTTAAAATTGCTATATTAAGTGGATTTAAATGTGGATTGATTTTTTGTAAAGTGGATTTAAATGTAAAATTGAAATCCTAAAAATGCGAATTAGTTCACAATTATGATGAAATAAACTATTTTGTGACAATAACGGAGACAAAAACATAAAACTGAGAATTTACAAATGAAAGCAGCATACTATTCCTTAACATAGATTTTTGGTGTGGAAGACAACTAATAATTACTTCATGGTGATCTGAGTTAAAGTTTTGTGGTCTTGTACCAGGGGATCATCATTAATTTTGAGCCCTGAATTGCATGATCATTTGAATATTTTCATGGTTTTCGAGTTATTCTGCATTTAATTACTGTTTTTGTTTGTGTATTATCACTGATGCATTGCAAGTTCTTGCTAATATAAATCTGTTACCTGTGTGATTTGTAGTGTATGGAATCTATTTGATTTTAGCCTTTCTATTTTTCTTTTTTGCATCAACGAAATTTTAATTTTTAAATCTGTATCAGTTTTACCCCTTGCCAGATATATCATTGATAAAAATTTAAATTGGAAAATTAAATAATAGGAAAAAATGTTCTTCAATCTAAGGAATTAAATTCAACCAAAAATCCTGTTGTCGATTTCAATAGTGTAAGCAGAGATCTAAATGCTCTTCAGAGAGATTCATTTTTATGGGCTTATCAAGGTCTGGTGATGGCTCTGGTTGGAAGAGTTGTTCTGTACCATAACTAGGCTACAATATCTAAGCTGGCTCTTTGCAAATGCTTTCACATTTTTATTTTATAACTTAAGATACTTAGTGTGGTGTCTGTTATTAATTTTTCTTATTATTACATAACATCAAAAGCTATTGATCTATACTGCAACTTTTTTTTGCTTGATTAAAATTGATTTTTTGATTTGAAGGGACATTTTTCTAAAAACTTTATATAGGACTCAAGCTTATAGATAAATCAGATTCTAATTCAAATTAATTTTATTATTCATTATTTTTATTATTATTTATTAATCAAATAAATAACACCAGTTATAGATGTTATTTATTTGATTTAAAAGATAGGGCATAATATTATATTATTTAAATTCTTATATTTTGCTTTAATTTTTTACTTATTTGAAACTTCCATTGTCCTTATAGTTCCAGGAGATGGTGGTAGCCAGTTGGAAGCCAAGTTGGATAAGCCTGAAACAGTCCACTACTTCTGCAATAAAAAGACGGATGATTTTTTTAGTTTATGGCTCAACTTGGAGTTGTTGGTCCCCTATGTAGTAGACTGCTGGGTGGATAACATGAGGTAAAGTTCATTTTAATTTAGTCATGTGTTTATTTTATTTTGATTAAAGATATTTAGAAATATTAAATCTCATTATTTGGAGATAAGTATTTTCTAAAAATAAATTCTAATTATAGTGCATAAAAAATATTATTTGTCAGACAGGTATAATTTCAAGCCCAACAAATATTATAAAACTTTGATTGCAAATTTAGTAATTTTGTTGCAGCTCAGTGGCCAGTTATAGCATTTTTAACTGTGACCACTTTTTCCAAAATTTAACATTTTTAAGGATTAAAAACTTTTTGATATTAACAATGTAAGGCATTTCTAAAAATATAGTAAAAGGTTCATTTCTAAAATTAAGAGAAGTTCTAAGAAACAAGTGTGATCTCACTGTCATCATTTCTATATGCATCATTCTAATCTATGCATCATATTCTGATTGTCAAAAAAGTCTATTGTAAATAAATTTTATCAATATTAAAAAGTTTTAATATCATAATAGTAATGTTACATTAGTATTGTATTGTATGTATACTTTCTTAAATGTTTATTACTGTAAATAATCTTAAGTCTAATCTAATCAGGTCTAATCTAATCAGGATATGAAAACAGAATACTTGAGTTTAAGTTATTTAAAAATTCAAATGAAGAAAAATTTATTTGTCAAAATCATGTATTACATTTTTGTTGCTATTTATAATAGAAATAGAATTTTCATTTTTGGAAGCAACTCCATGAAATTTTTTTAAAGATCTTTCGCATAAATGAAAAGAGAAAGAAAAAAAACACACACATCTGTAAATGTATATACTGAATCATTATTTGCTTTTGAAAAATATATTTTTAGCAGGTTTTGGCTTTTAATAAGTAAGAAATATTTTAGGAATACCTTTTTTTTTAATCTATGCTCTTCAAATTAATAAAATAGCAACAGAAATTAAACTCTAATGTATATTTTGTGATGTGTTTTGCATTGGCTCTTTCATAATATAGTTTATGAAGTTTTTTTTTTTTTTTTTCTTAGATTTTTTATTAAAATTTTGAAATTTTAATAAATTTTGAAATTTTATTTATGTAATAATTTTTTTCTCCATTTTATTTTATTCAATAAGCTAAGATTAAGCTTAATTTTTTGTAAAAATTTTTTTTGAAATTTTTTTAAATTACACTTGTGAAGTGTAATTTAAAATGTTTGTTTCAATTTTAAATGTTCTCCTATTAGTCTTTGTTATACATAATAAAAATTGTTCTGAGTGGAAATATTAAAAAAAAAAAAATTCTTTCTAAACTTCAACTTTGGAGACAAGAATTCTATCTCGTTTTATCTTTAGTTAATATCAGGTTAAAGCATTTTTAACATTCCAACATCTTTTCTTAAGAGTGTCTTTTTCATTTTTATAATTATTTGTTCATCTTAAATTTATTTACAGCATTGATCTTATTTATAAGTAAAGAATTGCCAAAATCTTTCATTGCTTTTTTAATTAATGTAATAATCAATAGTTTTTATATATCAATTAATGAGGATTCAAAATGAAAGCTTATTTATTACAGATTGGTTTATGATAACAATACTAGGACAACTTCAAATGCCCCTGGTGTCAGTATTAGAGTTCCTGATTTTGGAAATACCTCAAGTGTTGATTGGTTAGATCCTAGTCAAATATCTCCTAGTAAGTTCAGTATTTCTTTAACAGGAAGGTTAAAATTAATGCACATAACTGATTATGTCATATATGTTAAAGTCTAATATGAAGTCTTAATAAATGTAAAGTACAGCAATAGGAAAATGTTCCCATTCTTAAATTTAGTATGGATCTGCTGAAACCATAGATAAAAAAGTATCATTATTTTTTTGAAAATAAGTATAGGAAATAAATCGGAAGTGCTTTCTTTTAAGAATGTTTTAATGTATAGTGCGATAGAATTTTTTTTATGTTATTGTATGTATAAAATCTCTTGGATTTAAAATAATGCATTTTTGTTAAAAAATTGTGGTCTATTTTAATGTGTTATAATGTAACTTTAAGTATAATATTTATATTATATTTTCTTAATATTTGTATAATATTTTCTTAAAATGAGCTCGTTTAGTATAATTTTTATTTTATTTTTAGGTTCTTACTTCATCAACATAATTCAAATGCTAGTTGCAGAAGGCTATACAAGAGGGTTAAACATCAGGGGTGCCCCTTATGACTTCAGGAAAGCCCCAAGTATAAATCTTAGTTTATTTTTTATTCCTTTTTTTTTTGCTACACAATCATTATATTAAGATTTTTTACTATATGTTTTATTAATATTTGTATAATTGTTATAATTTAACATAACTGAGCAGCTATTTAATTACATAAAAGTATTATTATTTTTAATTATTTGAATTTACTGTTTATTTTTGGAAAATGAAAGACCTCTACATAATTGTTGCAGTTATATTTGTTTCTTAACTTTTGCCAGTTAAATTAAATAGGTTTATTAGAATTTGGTAGGAAGTTTAATATTTTATCTGCTAAGCTGTGAGCAGATTGAATAAAACTTTCCTGATAAAAATGGTTTCTTTATTGTGTAGTAAAGAACAATAAGTTAAACACTTTTTTTTATTTTTGTCATGCTAAAAGTTTATAACAGGAACAAAAATGATAAGTTAAATATCTTTGATCGTTAAAATATGATCAATTGAGCAAGAATTTTATCTAAATTATTAATAAAAATGATTTAGTACTATTTTTTATGTATTAGTGCTTTTTATGCATAATGTCCCTTTAATCTGTCAGAAATTTTATTCAATTTCACAAATGCTTTTTTTTTAGTGTGTTCATAATGGAAGTAAAAAATAATCAGCTATTTAGAATTTCATAATTGTTTTTATCAAAGGAATATTCCATAGCATATAAATGATTTTTTCCCTTTGTTTTCAGATAAACATTAATGAAATAAATTACCTTTAAAATTTTAACAATCGAACATTTTAATGTTTTTGTAATAGATGACAAACATTTTAAGATTTAATGAAATAATTATAAAATATTTATTTTTCTTTTTGATATTTTAATTAAAATATTCATTAAGTAAAATTCTCAGTTAGCTCTCCAAACTTAAAAAACAAAAATTTTACATAGTTTTCTTTATATCATATAAAGAAAACTGTATATACTATATATATATAAACTCCATATATTTCAAGATAATATATGAACTGAAAAATTGCACTTGGAAAACAGTTTTGGCCACTTTTGTGTCTCTTAATGTAAAAGTTATGAAAGGTTTAAAAATTTTCAAAGTAGTTCATTATATTAACTTTAAAAATTAAGCAATTATTCATTATTATAATTTTGTAATAAATCTTTCAAGTTATCCATTTATGTATAATTAGGTTCAGTTCTTGTTTTTTTTTTTTTTTTTTTTTTTTTTTTTTAAAATTTAAACTGAACAATTAAACTAAATTTTGGAATTATAGTTGTAAAAAATCCTTAAAGTCAATGAAGTAATAAATGTATGCATTTCTATAAGCTGAATAAAATTCTAAAAAATTATAATGTTAAACTATTGCAGAACTTAATGTAAGGAATTTTAAATATCATTTTTAAAAGCAGTCAAAGTTATTCATGCACATTACTCTGTTTTATTCAATAGAGATACTGTTTGATATTGATTGCCACAAATTTTATAACAGGAATAAAAATGTTGACTGTTTAAAATCGATACACTTTTTATAAACTCACTGAACACTTTCTTTTTAAAATAATACATTAAGATTTCAAAGTAGAAATTTATAAGTAGAATAATTTCTTCTTGAGGAATATTTTGATTTTTTGCTTAGTTATTTCTACTCCTTCATTTGTTTTAATGAATTTCATTTCTCTGTAGATGAAATGACAGATTTCTTTAATGCCATGAAAAACATGACTGAAGAGACTTATGAAAAGAATGCTCAGACTAAGGTCACATTTGTTTGTCACAGTATGGGCTGTCCTTTAATGAGCTACTTTTTCAATCAGCAAACTCAGCAATGGAAAGACAAACATATAAAAGCTATGGTTACACTCGGAGGTGCTTGGGGCGGAGCTGTGAAAGCAATAAAAACATTTGCCGCAGGTAGCTTTTTATTTGAATTTCAGCAACATTTTGTTTCTTGATCAGAATTGTCTTCTGCATTAGATGTTAAATAATATTAATATTGTCTGTTTTAAAATAATGTTACATTTTTATGAAAATGAATTCGAAAATTGAGATTTTATAAAGTTCTCTCAGGTTTAGAGAAACATAAAAACTTTGAATTTGCTGGGCATTTGATTTTGGCAATTTAAAAAATTCAGAGAATTATGGAACATTGCATTTTTTAGCCGAAAGCTTAGGGGAAAAAACGGAAACTTAAAAATGACCAATCTTGAAATTTGCCTTTATGATTAAGTAGCTAATAAGGCTCATATTCAATAAATCTAACACCCATTACAATTATTTCTTATAAGTTTCATTGCAACATGATTAAATTATCTTATTACATGTTTAAAAGCCTTTCTGTTATTACCTTTTGCATTTTAAGCAAGGCTTAGTGTCTTGTGTGGCTTTGTAGATTCTCTGTAGTTTTTTTATTTTATAACCTCAAAAAGTCCAAGTTGTAGCATTGCTGGAATTTGCCCCTCCATTTAGCATTACTTGAAAAATCATTTTTCATAATTATTGTTATTCATTAAAACTTACATTACCAAACATAAAGGAAAAAAGTATAAACAGTTATTATTCAGAAAGTCATCACTTATTTAAAAACAATTGCTCTTATTTGTTAACAATTACTCAAAAATCAACGATTTAATTTTAAATCAGTGTCAGTAAAACTTGTTTCAGTAAAACAAAATCAATTTAACTTGTTTTAAATTAAAGCAATGCAAAAATTTTTACAATTTGATATTTTTATTGCATATATTTTAGAAAAGTATGTGAAAAAAGGAAAGAAGGAAAATGATTTGTAGAAGGTAAAAAATTATCGATTTTTAAATTAATATACAGTAAAACCTCCTGTTATGGACACTCCTGCAAAACAGACGCCTCTCAATACAGACATATTTTTAATTACCTCGGAATCTTCGATGAATAAACCATTATGTACATACTCCACAAAGCAGACACTCCCATAACATTAACGCGGACCGTCATTTTGGCCTTGAAACATTATTTTCTACCTCTTCAAACCGGACACTACTTTTTCTAAATTTGAAAAAAAGAAAAAAAAATCTGCTTTAAATTGCAAGGAAAAAAATGCAACTTTTCACCATTTTTAAAGCATGTAATTTTTTTTTTTTGCCTTATCCATAACTAAAAATATTGTTAAATTATTTCACTACTGAATCAATCTTTCTCCTGTCACCTTGCCTTATCTTTGTAAAGAAAGGAGAGAAAATGATACTGCTGTTGTGAAATAATTCGGACAGCGGTATCTTTTGATCTTTTCATCTGGACCACACAGGTTATGAGTCCCCTCATGTTGAAATGGCATCTTAAATGCTCTCAATGCTTCTTCCCCATTGAAAATTTCTTGCATTTTCTTATCAATTTGAAGACTGTATTTAACACAGCTGGGGTAAAAAAGAGAACAGAAGTATAATCTTTGAGGTGTTCATATAAATGAAACATTTATTCAAACACTTGATTGCTGATCAATTGTGAATGATCAGCTCCATAGGTCCTCATGACTTACAGGTAGACATAGCTTTTCCCCCCCCTTTGAATCGTGTGAGGTTTACTTTCAAAATGGTATTAACCATGTTCCCTATCAAATGATAGGTAGGTGCAAGAGGATGTAAACCTAATAATTGGAAACGACTGAGGATTGACAGCTCCTATTCGGTATCATATGTCTAGCTGGAGTATCTATGCTAATAGGAAAATTATATTCATTTATTTGTAACTACATCTGGAATTATGTATTTATATCAAACTTCTTTATATATTCTTTTTTATCTTTCTTAAAATTTAAAAAAATATCGTTGTAGATAGTTATTGTAGATCATTTAATTATTTCTACATCTTCCAAAATATTTAAAAAACAATTCACGGTGTTAAACTTCGTTATTAAGGTACACTCCCCGTAAACGGACAACTCTCATAAACGGACAATTTTTTCGGTCCCAAGAATGTCCGCTTAACGGAGGTTTTACTGTATTTGAATTTTGTTAAAATCTGTTGTTAAATTATTATTATAAAATCCATCCCTTTTAATTTTATTTTGCAACAAATTTTTTTTTCCTTCTCCTTTAAATTATAAATAATATTTTAGATAAAGGTATACAATTTCGATTATTAAGATTCCAATTTGAAATTTTATTATTTGTAATTGTAACTGAAAGTCAAAATATTGTCTTAATTTAAAAGTTTTCGACCTACATTCAACAATCATAGTTACGTTTTTCAGGAAATAGTAAAATAATTTTAAATATCTGATAGCCTAGTGAAATGATGCACTGACAGGATATTTAATGCTGTCTATTTTATAAAAATTGCATTACACAAGCTATGATTATGCTTGAAATATAGTTTTAAGATATTAAGTGAAAAAAAAATTTCTGGCTGATTTTATACCTTTTTTGTAATTATTACTGAAATTCCATAATGTATTATTCAATAAACAATCTTTCAAATACATAGGAGAAAATCTTGGAGTTTTTGTTATAAGCCAAATAAATGTAAGAAGGGAGCAGCGCACCTCACCAAGTTTAGCTTATGTGATGCCATCCCAACTTCTTTGGAAAGATAATGAAGTTATGATGATTACTGACAAGAAAAACTACACCAAAAATGACTTTTATCAATTATTTCAAGATATTGATTTTCCAGATGGGTATGAAATGTATAAGGACACTTTGCCATATGCTTTGAAAGGAATGAATCCACCTGGTGTTGAAATTCATTGTATGCATGGCATAAACGTCACACAAACTATTGAAATGTAAGTTCATTATTTTGTAATTTAGTAAATTTGAAATTGTAGTAATAGTTGAGTATATTCAAAATTGTATTAACTTATAAATGCAAAGTATAAAATAAATAATATACGTTTAAAATAAAAGTAACCTATGGAAAAAAATTAACCAAGATTAGTCAATAGTTTTTATTAAATTTTACAGCAGGATGTGCTTTTATATAATATAATCAAATTCATTACATTTTTGTATTTAATTCATTTTACGAAAAAAAAATTTCTGGTGGAATTTAATTAAGTTAATACTTATTTTTGGCTTAGATTTGTATGCTACTAAATAAAATCTTCCTTACATTCTTTCAAAGTTGCTATAGAGTTTTTTTTTAATTATTTTTTTTTATTTGTTTGAAATATATTATAAAAATATGGTGTTTGAATCTTTATCTAATTAGGGGTGGTAGTTTTGTTATCAGAGCCATCTCTATTCTTTTGCGCTCTTTTTTTTATTTACAAGTTTTTTTTCATCATGATAATAATATTCGCACATATGTTTTTCATTTCCGAGCAATAAGTACCCTTTTAATTTGTGTTGAAATGCATATAACTTACTTTCGGAAAGCATTCATCTTCGTAGCTTTTGTTGATTATTTTGTTAAAATTTAAGTCTTCTTCATTATCAAGTTAAATATATAACTATGCATGCACCATTGCAACATGCAAAAAATGGTTCCAAAAAGCTAATGGAAAAATAATTAGTTATTGTTTTTCAAAGCAGGAATTCGTATCAAAACTTTAGGTATGAGAAATGTAAAAAGAAAAATGCATTTAATCCTAGAACATCACGTACTTGCTCACAAAGCTGCAATAGATTCTAGAAAAAAGTATTCTTAAGAAAACTGTAAAAGATCGTAATATTAATTCCTTGATGCAGTTTTTTTTAAAATTAAAATAAATTTATTAAGGAATATACAATTTTAGGTAATTTGAATTTTTTTGATACTTAAAGTTTTGGTTGCTTTTTCCTTCTAATTCTATACGAAAAATTAATATACCACAGTGAGTGATGAATGAAATCCCCAAGGAATAACTATTAAATAAAACCATTTTTATTTAATAGTTATTTAATATAAGGAAGTTCCGATTTGTAAGTGTTAAATTTTTTGTAACTTCAGTTTTAATATCAAATTTATTAACTAAACATTTATTTAATTGTAATACTTTCTGTCGCAGTACAATTTGTGCTAAATGTATAAGAAACTCTTTATATTCTGATAAATATTTTTTAATACCACTTTAAATTTACAAATTTCTATTTGCTTTATTGATGAATATTTAATTTACTTAATTGAATGAATGGTTAATTTGAGTACTGGAAAGAAAATTTGTTGTTAAAATACGTTTTTAGAATCATAAATGAACAATCTATTCATTTATTTCTTCTATTTACCGTAAAGAATGACATTAGTTAGAGACAAAAATTTTTTATTTAAATAATATTATTTTTTTAATATTATATTATACTACAATTTATATTAAGTGAAAGTTGAAGTATTGTAAATTAATATTTTTCGCATGGATTTGTTTCAAATTTCTTTTGAATGTACTGCACTTTAATAAATGAGAATTTCAAGAAGATGAAACTGAATTTTTATAATATTTGAATTATATTCATAGTTTTTCAACTAAATTTTCTACTCAGATACTACCTATATTGATCACAATGAAGAAACATTAATGAAATCCATAATATGAAATTGTATTTATATAATTTATTGCAGCATTTGAGGAGAAATATGCGGATTGAAATAGCAAGAATATGCAAGATTGAAAATGCAGCAATAAGATATCTTTTAAGTATGTGACGTTATAGAAGATGTTGGGAAACCGATAGAAGAGATTTAATTCGGAATAGCACAAACTTAAGTGTCTAATAACTTTGTCTGGAAAGCACAAGAGTCTTGCTGTCAAATATTGAGATAGTTTAATCAAAATATTGAGATAGTTAAAGATAAAAGAAAGACAAAAATAAGCAAAACCTAGTCCCCGAATATGAAAACAGCACATCATTTGTATTGGGTATTAAAAACAAAAAAAAAGCTATTTGATTTTAAACTTTACGTTAGTTACGGTCAAAGAAGAAGAAAACCATGACAACGTCACATTTTAAAGAGGTAGACAAGTCATTTTATGCTTAGTTCTCCCAAAAATGCAATAAGTTATTGCCAATAAGTAAATATTTTATAAGTAAATAACATTAATAAGTAAAATTCATTGCCGCAACGCAAAGTATTGAATTCAGGGTAAACTTAAATAATACATTTTAAAAATACTTATCAAATGCATATATAATTTTTTTCATGAAAATGTTTTTTTTTCTTGGATTTTAAATTTTTTTTTTATTTGTGTTTATTTTTTAACTTTTAGGCTTGACTATAGAAACACATCCCATTTTCCTGATAACCCTAAGCTAATCTATGGTGATGGGGATGGCACTGTAAATGTACGAAGTTTAGAGGCCTGTCTTCTTTGGCAAGGAAAACAAAAACAAAAAATATATCATACACCTCTGAATAATGTTGATCATATGGGAATTTTAGCTGATCTTCACGTGTTGGATTATATAAAACATGTTATTCACATGTAGTGATATATCTGTACATATATACTTTTTTGTTGTTTGTTTATATAGAGTATAGACATACTTGTCTGTTTTACTCATATCATTTGTGCCTTTATATCATCATTATTTAAGTCATCTTGACCCATTTTAAAATTCATGAAATGAAAACTCAATGTATTTCTTTAGCATCTCTTATTGTGTAACTAAGTAGTTGTTTCTAAGACAGTTTCTTTCTGCTTTTATTTTTGAGTGATAAAAGTGATATACATCTTGAGTACAAAGTTTTTATATTACGCATTTTAAAGTCTAACATCTCAAAAGTTCGAAATTTAGTTTTTCTTTTATTAGATAGAACTCATTTCTTTATGATAGTAATTTTTTACTACAGTTACTAAATTAGCATTTTTATTGAAGTCAACATATGGATATATTCAATTGCACTGAAAATATTTATTTCTATAGATTTCGATCTAAAGCATTACCTTTGCACTTCTTTAAGAAAATAGTTGCAGTCCTATTTAATAATACATGCTTTAAATTAAATTTCCCTTGCTTGCCAATTCCCTTACTTAACCATATATTTTATTGTTTTGTTTGAAAATTTGCACTCAACATGGAAGAGTTTTTTAAATCATTTTGAATTTTTTTGGAACTAATTTAGTAATTAAATTTTTTTCTAATTATTTTTAAATCATGAAATTTTGATACCAATTTGAAATCTATTTTGTAGTGCGTGGAATATATAGTTTATTCAAATATTATTTATTCTATACACCACTTTTTACATGCAACGTATTGGACATAGAAAATATTGTTATAAAATTTTGGTCCATATTAAAATTATATTTTTTCTATTCTTTTATTTTAATTCTATAGTTAACAGGATTCAAATAATAATTTAATTTTCCATATGTTTTTCTTTGATCACAAGAAAATTAAAATGAAAATATTTATATTGAATATATAAAAATGAAATAATAGTTTATTAAAAAGAAACTTTAACACTTTTTTTTGCAGTTAATATTGTTAGCTTTCAGCTACTTATTTTTAATTAAATGATAATAATTAAATTATTAATTAAATGATAATAACTAATTAATATTCGGTTCTTCATTCCGCTGACCACCCAACTAGTACAACTGCTCCTGCACCCTAGGCCCCAAAGTCAAGAAAACTGGGATATGCACAGTATGCTTTGGTCTTCCTTGGGTTGTTGAACCACTGGCTTTGGTTAAGTATAAATAGCAAATTTCATTGTGTCCCCCACAAACGAAAGAAAAAAAAGTTACAATTGTTGATTATGCTTCTTAGAAAAATTGAAATTTGATAGTTTAAAAATTATGAAATGAAGAGCGTAAAGGAATCAGAATGAAAACTGTTTATGAATTAAGAAACGTCATAGAATGCCTATCATCATTCAATGGCTCACTCAATTAAGTGGATTAATCTTCAGTAGATGTCTGAAAAATAAAGCCGCCATGTTTTGAAATGAACTTTACAGCAAAGCAAGAATAATATTGTAAGTTGCAAAAATTTTTTTCCCCCAAAAATTTTAAACTTAGTTTATCAAACAAATATGTTAATATTTTTAAAAACCTCTGAGAATTGAAAAAAATTTAGCAAATATTTAATTAAAATGTCCAATGCAGATTTGGTAAAAATAAAATGTAATTGTAGTAATCAACATAGCTTTTAGTGTATTTGTAATATCTGTTTATAAAATCAATCACTTTGTAAAATCAAATGTTCTCGGAATAGAAGTGATTATAGTAGGAGGAACACAATATATTGAGGAGAGATTCTTATACTAACTTAAACAAATGCCAAGTGCTAAATCTGTTAAAGTATCTGCTATATGTTAAAATTTATTGCAATTTCTGGTGGGTATTTGTTATTATCTGCTCTAATGTGATTGATCATATCAATGCATCATGCATTAGTTTTTGTGATTGTTTAGGACATGTTTATTGGGTCCTTTTTTTTTTGAATTTTTGAAATATCCAAAATTTTTCTAGTCATTATTACTCAGACTAATAGATAAAATTGGAATAAACTTATGTGCAGTTTTATTGAAAATTTTTCTCAGTATTCAATATTGGCTATTCAGTACTTATAAACAGAATTGCATGTAGATTGCATATTGATCTTGATTGATATTGATTGATCTTGATATTGATTGAGTTGCATATTGACATAAAAATTTATGAAAGTAATGTGAAATGTTACTTACGGATTAAAAACATATTTCATAATGGATCTTTTAATAAATTTGTGATTTTAAGATTTTTCTGTTTATTATCTAGGTACTTACTGAATTATATTTTAGGCATGTATTAGTAAATGTAGGATTAGTTTTTCTAAATGCATCACAATTGTTTTCTTTTCTAATTGTTCATTAACTAATATGTATTACATTATATATTAGTTAATGAAGAAAGTGTGAGTACTTTGAAAGATTGCTTGCGTTTAATGTTTTTGTGAGAACTGGTGATTTTGTTGTTGTTACTGTTTTTTGCTCCTTGTTAGATGTTATAATTTATTATAGAATTTGTCTGAACGTGGGGACTGATTTATTTTCATAGTCAGATAACAACAAAGCTTTTGTACTATCGAACAGATTATTGATTTTCTATTTATGTTTTTATGTTAGTTTTGTAATTTTCCTATGAGAGTAACAGTAAATTGTTTCACCTATTGGTTGCTAATTTTTTTTCTTCTTTTTCTGTAACAGTTTGAGTAGGAAAACAGTATTTAATATGCAGTATAATTTAAATAAACCAATTTAGAATTGCTATATCTTTAAATTATTTTGATGATGTAAAAGTAAATGGTTTAAATTGATGTGATGGAGCTTATTTCGTATCTTAATAATCTAGAGATGAAATAAATTTATGGGTTTTAGAAAAATGTTAGTGATATATATATCAGAAAAATTAAAAATTCATATATTTTAGACAGGTTTTGTCAATTAGTAATTGTGTAGGGGGAATAGAGTATTATTGTTCTAGTTTGTACCAATAGAACAAGGTTATCTTTCATTTTATTTTAACTTGTAGAGAATGTCATAGTGCTTAAATACACACAATTTAAAGTTTTCAAATGATTTTAAAAGTTCTCAAAAAGGTTATCAAGGTTTTTACTTTTGTAAATAAAAAAAGGTAAAGGGATTTTTTTTATTAATGCGGATCATATATGTTTAGAAATTTTTAAATTCATATTGCAATTCATGCTATAATAATGATTATTTTAACAAACTTTAACATTGCTCTCATAGTGAAGAACATACTTTTTATAATGATTTTGTGTATTCAGCTCATGGCCTATGGAGTCCTGGAACTGGCTCTTGCAATTAAGTTAGTCTGTGTATTTTACTGGAAAAATACTCCAAAAATTATCATAAAACATGGCTAAAATGTCTTTTGTTTGCGTGGTTGATAGTAAAAAAAATTCATTTGTAAAAGTCATTTGTGCGATTGTACATAACTGATTGGTGAGATGAAGCCTAAAACACAATTTTACAATATTTATCTAATAAATGTGTGGAGAAAATTTTATTTCTTTTTTAATATTAGAAAATGAAAACATCTTATATTTTATAAGGCCTTATTAATCCAAGAAAATACCTTTCTTGAACAACAGGTTTATTTTTGGCCAAGAAGGATAGTTTTCATAATTTAAAATTGTTAAGAAGATATGGTATGATTTCATTATGCAGAATTTAGTCACGGTGATATTTTATTTTTAAAAACAAAATCCTTGGTATAGAATAGCTCAATATTTTTTATTTACTTTGCAAACATTCACTTTTATACAATTAGCACACTAATATATTTTGCTGTCCTGTCATTTTTGAATTCTTAGCTTTTGCTTAGTTTTTTCCTATTATGGATTGTTAAGTGTCTATGTTTCAATTGCTAAGTGCCATGATTATAATTTCCTTTCTAAGGGCTTCTTTTTTGTCTTATAGTTTTTCAGTTGCTTGCCATTTTTAATGCAAATTTTTGCTATTGTCTTATTTTGTTTATTTTTTTAATTTTTGTAGTCGTAAGTCAGGAGTGATAAAAATATGGAATAAGGGCACAATATTTTAAATATATATTTTTGGCTGAATTTTGACTGTCTTTATCATTGCGAAGATTGTATTGATGCTTTGTAAAACAATGGTATTCCTTATAGGAATTTTTCATGTATGTGTGGTACTACCATTTATTGCATTTTTCAAAAATATATTAAATGTGTCTGAAATAATATCATCAAACAAGTTTTTAAATAGAATTAAACTTACTTTGAAACTTGTTAATGAAAAATAGTTTATTTCAGGTTGGATTGAAAGTTTTATTTTTTATATTAAAAATAATAATTAACCTTAAAAATTCCACTGTATTGAAAATCTAATTTTAAATTTTTTTTTTTAATTAATAAATGGGTGGGTTTAGCCTGAATCTTAGAAAAACTTTTCTTATTTGATTTAAGCAAATTGAAATATTATTGAATCATTAGTAAGTACAGCGGAAGAATTTGCGTACTTTCTTGTTCAAATAACCTTATTTAATTTTTTTTTCTTCTTAAAATAGAGATTGATTTTATCTTTATAAAATATTTTAACTAAAGAAAAATTCGAGAATTACTTTTTACTTTAGAGAAATTTCCAGAAATCTAATAGAAACTTTTCTACCAACCTAACATAGTCTTTAATAAAAAAGCTTATAATAAAAATACATAATCAGAATATTTTGAATTATAGTCTGTTAAGATAATAAAAATATTTATGGAATTAGTAAATACCTAATAAAGTTATTTGCTAATTTTGTTTAATATGTTTATTCGAATATGTATGGAGGCTATAATTGAAATTTCACTGCTTGCAGAAAATTATTTTGTTAATCCCTTAAATTTTATTTTTTGTTTAATTATTTTTGTTTACTGCAAGGCAAAAGGCAGTTAAAATTTTTTAATATTTTTTAATTATGTGCTTGATTTATTAATGTCTTTTGTTAGTTAAATTTTATTCAAGATCTCTAATTCACTATCTCCAATGTCTTTGTCAAGAAATTGATAGCATGTTTGCTGAATTATGTTTTTCTAGCTATTCTACTAATTTTTAGATTCTTGATTAACTTGTGTGTAATAATATAGCTTTGTTCTCCCTGTAAGTAAAATTTATATTGACTCAAATTAAAAATAATTTATTTCTTTTAAAATTATATGGTATGTGATCTCTTAGAATTGTATAGGTAGTGAGATGCATTTTACTGTGATGGACTTTTATGGCTGTTGAAATAAAAGTAGATAAAAATAAAATGTGTGTATGTTTTGTTAATTTTGTTGATATTTTTCGAAAACAGTTGAAATTTTTTTTTTGTTTATCAATAGAAGTTAATCATTGTAGCGTTTAAAGGGGGAAAATTTGTTTACTTCTCACTTATTTTACGTTAATCTGAGAAGTTTTATTTCACTTGACAATATGTTTTAAATTGTAAAGCCTATCTAAAGATGTAGCAGGGCTCCCACGGTCCTTAAAAGCTGCTTTTGAAAAATAAGGGCCCTTAAAGGTACATAATTTTGGTACAAGGTTTATAAAAGTCCTTAATTTTTCAGCATTGGTATAGTTCACAAGAACAATTTTTCAGTTAAATTTTTTAAAACAAAAAAAAAAATCTTTCTTTTATCAATTAGAACTAATCAAAAACATATTGGTTTGAAATTTATTAATCTTTTCAAACATAATTTTGTTTTTATTCTATAAAAATTTTTATAAAAATATTTATTGCAATGAATTTAAAAAAAAATATTAAGTTAAGCTTAAGAAGAAAAAAAGTGGAATGAATTAAGGTGCTTAGATATTAGTATAGCCTGTTTTACATGAAATAGAACTTAATTTAACATGACATAGTTAAGAAACTATTCTCATGCATAACTCTAATTCGACTTTATAGTATTCATTCCTTTAATATGTACCCTTATAAATGAAACATTTTAATTATAGAAATGAATTTTTTTGGCGTAACTGAATAATTAGCAAGATTGGCCCACAACTGAATATTTGATGCATGTCCAGTAGCGAAATATAAAAACTTGTAATAATTATTTCCATGTTTTTCCCAAATTTCTTTATTTACTCTTTCTTTGTGAAAAAAATTGCAAATCTTAATTTCTGCGCTTAATTTTACAATGCAATTTTAATGAAATAATTAAAAATGGAATACGGATTAGTTTCATATGCGTCGTTAACCCTTAACAATCTAAAAAAATATATATATTTTAAAATTCCTGTTAATTAATACAATTATATCAGTGCTTACATTATAATAAAATTGTCTTTTTTTTATTCATTGACTTTTTTTTAAAGAAAGGTAAATAATTGACACTGGTGGTATACGTATATTCGATGATAAACAATCATATTATTTTTAAAGTCCTTAATTTTTCAAAAAAGCCCTTAATTTTTTCAACAAAAAAAATAAGTGCTTAATTTCTGCTTTGTTGAAAAAGTGGGATCCCTGTGTAGTGTGTCAGTGCCAACCAAAAACTCAAGGATTGATTCCAGTTTTTTAAAATTTTGTCTAGCTCAAGGTCCTAATTGTGATTTCTTGTTTAGAGTAGGAAAAAAAAAAAAACATTTGTATCCGTTTTTCTTCTTTGTTCAACGTAGAGTATGCAAAAATAATAATAAAGATATGAATCACCCTGAATAACTTTTGATCTAATGATCGGATCTTCACGTTCTAGGACTCAATCTTAATGGTTCAAGAGGGTGGTCTCGTATATACCAGTTCATAGGTGCAAACAATATTTTAAGTTATGAAATCAAAAACAAAAACGTACTTTCTCTGAATAAACATACCTTTTTTTTTGGATTTCTGACCCACAAAATATTGAGCTATAGCCGCAATCTGGGAAATGTGATTCCAATAGTTAATTTTATTTAATGTTAATTATAATTTTTGCTTATTTTGCTATATCTTGACATTTGTGTTAAGCGAATTGCAAAATTTTTGCACGCAATTATAATATTCATTTATCCATAGATAATTCCATGCAAAAAAAAAAATAATTTTTAATAAATATTTATATTATTTTAACATTTTATTTCACAATAGTTTAAAATTTTTCATTTAAAGAATATAATCTTATATAGCAAAATACAAATTTTAAATGAAATCGAGTCGAATAAATCTGAAATCTAATTTTAAAGAGTTGTATATTTGCAGATATAACTGGTGTTTTAAGTTGAATTTTTCGGCAGAATAGTGCCAAAACTCTTATTGCGAAACCTTCATTTCTTTGGTGTTTTTGAGTAGCAAAGCGTGTGTTATGGAATAGCCTGTTTTACCCTCTGATATCAATCTCCAAGAAAACATAGGAGGTTCCCTCAGTAATGCTGAAGTTTCCAAAAGCAGGAAGTTATATCCTTTGGCAGAATTGTTGACGGTCATCATTGAAACCTGTGATAATATTGGTGCTACTGCTAATCGGGGAATGGCAAATGGAATGCAGCATCGTATATTTCAAATCATATTTAAATATGTCGAATATATTGGTTATTAACGTAAGTGACTTTATTTCAGGGAGACACTTTAAAGTGAATTACTCCTTGTGAATATGTGTTTGCGAACCCAGTTTATTAATATTCATATTTTGTTCATTGTTTCATTTTGTATCCATTTATGGCACTAAATCGAAGTAGACTTTTTTTGTGTGGGATACATTGTACTGCTTAATCTTTGTCATACAGCACTTGAAATATTTTTCTAAATGATTAATATTAAGTTTTTAAAAAATATTAGTAAGTATTTTATACCACTAAAGCGGTGAAAANTTAGAACTATGTTTAATGTAGTTTTCAGTTCCATATAGATTTTTAAGTTAAAAGATTTTAATCTATGTGAAAATCAAGAGAGAAACTAACGTACTTCCTTCCTCTATGACTTTCCACACGCTAATGGGGAAAGCATGCGAAGTGTTGCCATAAGAAAAGAGTTCTGCTCTACGCCACCTGCAGCTCATTTCGATCGCCAATATATATATTTCTCTTACACGGCGACAAAAATAGCCTCATTACAACTCCTCGAATGGCAACGCTAGAAAAACGACCACTGATTGCCGTTAAAAATGTCACATGCCAAATCTAGCTGAGGTGGCTCAACATATAGCGCTTTTAAAAACGGAAACTGAAATAACCAGAGAGAGCATTCTCACCGAAATTCACCCTATCAGCTGCGGCAATCTCATACTATTAAGCTAGGCAGAAGTGAGTAGTCTTTGTCGATAGATCTCTATTTTAGTATTTTGTCAAAAGCGCTTTTCACGAATTTATATATTACGAATTTATTTGACGATTTGTGATTTATATCACGAATTTATTTGTTTTATTATTGTTATTAGTTATTCATTGAAAAATGAGTCTCAGTCGTGCTGTTACTCTTAAAGATTTTATACTATAGCACATTTCTAATAGGTTTAACGAATTACATGTCATTTATTTGAATTCAAATTCATTTTAATGACTTAGTATTTACTAAAAAGATTTAATTTTTTTTAAAAAAAAGTTGTTGCATGGATTTGAATGATTGTTTTGAATTCTTAGAATTTTGTGCATTTGTAATGTATCTAAGTTAGTAGCGAACGAAGCGAGCTTGGTTTGCGAAGCAAACCATATAAGATTGCGTATCATTTTTCGGGGGTTGGCGAGCGTTAGCGAGCAGTGAGCGCAGCCTACTAGTAAATAATAAAACTGCATAATAAATAACTTTAATAAAAGTCAGCAGCTTAATATGTAACAATGTATTGGATATAGTTTTAACTTTCTGTAGTTTTTTTAAACATTATTTATCAATCAGGAAACTGATAGATAAAACAAAATTAAAGGTATAACATTATCATCACCGTCTTTAGATAATGTTAATCTACTGCTGGATGAAACTCTTCTACAAACCTTTACCAAAAATTTTTAACTGATGCTCTTGCCTTCGAATTGAATCCACACCTCTGTTACTTTACAAATTTTATCAGATTATATTTTTTTATTTTTACTTTTTGGTTGTTTGTCATGAGGATATCTGCCCAAGATGATGTAAATCGGGTGATAGTTTTTCGAGCTATTTGGCTAACTAATAGACATTTCATGCGTTTGATTGTCTCGACAATGTTATCCATTGTTAATTTTGACATTTCGAAGGGGTGGAAGATTCCTCCCTGCCATTACTGGTATGCGGGCAAAAAGCCTGGTTCCTCACTCGTCATCAGGGCCGGGCGATCCGGGCGGCCGCCCGGAGCGCAATGATCTAGGGGCGCCAAAATGATAGTTAACAAGATTGAGAAGCGGCAGGCGGAATTTATCATTTTTATTTCTAAGCACATAATTCAAATAATATAATACATTTAAACATTAATGCAAAACCTAGTTGAATTCAATTCAATATGACAAAATTTCAAGAATTGATTGTATTTTATATAATATTTTTGGTCTAAATAATATTTTGGTCTAAATAATACTTTGGTTTATATAATATTTTGGTCTTTTTGTATAATATTTTTGGTCTAAAAGACATGCCCAGAAATGAGCTACTGGCTCATTGCAAAGATTTGGAAATAGTTTTAACTGATGGAAATTCAAGTTATCTTAACGCCCTGTAACTAGCCGATGAAATAAGCATTGTTTCGTCATTATTAACAAAAAAGGAAACCCCTGTTGAAGTTCTCAAGTTTATCGCTACACTTAAATTAACACCAAACCTCAGCATAGCATTAAGAATCCTACTTGCATTGCCAGTCACTGTGGCTTCAGGGGAAAGAAGCTTTTCAAAACAAAAAATAATAAAAAATTATATCAAAATGATGCAGACGCAAAATCAGCTCAATGGATAGCTATAGAACACCAAATTAGTGACAAATTAGACTTGAAATCACTGGTTCGTGAGTTTGCCGAAGGAAAAGTTAGAAAAAGGGCATTTTAATTACTTTGGTTAGTTAGAATTTATTTATAATATGGGATATTAGTTTAGTTAGCATTACTACACTTTAATCTTTGTTATTTTGTCTTAAATGCTAAATTGCTTATCTTGTTATCTGATGATTGAGTTTTTAATAAAACATTTTTTTTAATATTTTTTTTTCAATGTTTTCTTGACTTTCTGATATGGTCGCATGAGATTTACTTAAAAAAAACGGGGGGGGGGGGCGCAAAATTAATGTTTCGCCCGGAGCGCCAAAATGTCTAGGACCGGCCCTGTCGTCATCAATTATGACAGAGCCTCTAAAACAGCAATTTCCATATTAGCAAGAGGGCACACAAGCATTCC